TTGCATCAGTACGTTGAGTGTTTATCTTTTTCCACTCTTTGAGTGTCAAACAGGAGGTTGCAAACCCTGGGAATGGACAACTTGACCCTGAATACGCCACAGCTCAAATAGCGGTGTGGTGGGACATGGATGACTGCCCAATTCCGGAGGGTTATGATGCTCGTTGGGTCCGTCCGAGTATACAAGGGGCGCTGGCGCTCAAGGATCTAGGCTACTCTGGTCCTGTCTCCATCACTGCCTATGGCGACCACAAACAAACCCCTGATCACCTCCTGCGAGGGCTCTCTTCCAGTGGAGTCATTGTTGCACATACCATCTTCGGTTAGTCCATTTGTTATCCTTGTCTGTGTTTAAATTTCCTTTTACAGAAAGCACATGCTCACTCATGCTTTCCTTTTACTGAAACAGAACGCACAGACTCAATCATGTTTTCAGATCTGCTTGAATGGCAATCCCTGAATCCTCCTCCGGCTACAATGATGCTCATAGCCGATCAGGTGGAAGATCGGTTCTCAAAAGCTCTTGTCGGGCTACAACAACTGAAGAAATACAACCTTTTTCTAGCTTATTCATTTAGGCCTTACAAAATGTCAGTCCTGGTCTGGCCGCAACCTGGCAATAGTAATGATAATTATAGATTTTCCACCGTGAAAATTGTTTTGAAACCTGGACTGGCCGCAACCTGGCAAGATTTCGAAATGTAAGTTGTTGTTTGTGTTTTCGAAATGCTTCTAGATTCAGTCGTAGAGACAAGATTAAAAAAATGTCCCTCTTTTCATTCCTGGTTTCCACAGTTTTATGTTTTTCACGTTATACTCATGTTTCATTCATTTACATCTTGTAGAGAGATACTCCAAGGAGCAAACGTTTGAGGAAAGCATTCCGGACGGGTTTTCGTCTTCTTCATAATCATTTAGGCCTTACTAATCGTGGAGCGCGACGTAGAGCCCGGAAATCTCAAATGTACAAGAAAGAGTGGTGGAAGTGACCACCCATTTGACTGAGACGAGTGGTCTACCCAACTGCGACATGGTCATTAGGGCGCATGGAGAAGGGATAATGAATTCGGTTGAGCTTTCCTTGTCCTGGAAGGCTGGAACTCTTATTTTTTGGTTTGTTTAAAGACACTCGTGTGGACTAGTTATTTTTCATTTCGTTTTGTTTGTTTAGAACAAGGGTATACAAAATTATTGCAACAAGTTTGCTTCGACTACAGGTCCAATGGCTTGTTGTTGGAGAGGAAGAGGAATAAGAGGAAATACTTGACTATCTAACTCTTTCTCTTTCTTTTGGTCTCCTGACTTGGGCTCGGACTCTTTCGCTCTCCCTCTCAGCTTCTCCAAAGCTTTTCTCCTGTTCTCCTTTCTCCCTACTCGAGCTTCTGCGGCTTCACCATGGAGAAGAAAGTTGATCCCTCCGAGAACTCCAGCCGTTAGATAAAGCATCGTGTTTCTTCTGGAAACATCTTTGGAATCAAGGACATGAAGCTTCTGGTGTTCCTTAACATTTGCTTCGAGTAAAGGAGCCTGGCAAAGAAAGGCAGACTAAGAAAACTGATACTTGCAATGCAGACTCAATACCAATCTAAAAACAGCTTAAGCAATAAACATATGGAAATATTGTCTGCACAATTTTATGGATTGACATTCCCTTTGTTACCCAAAAGCATATGCACTATGTAGAGAACACGAAGGAAGTACAGAAAGACACTCAAATCTCAACAAATGTTTAATGATTCCGTGGGATTCTGTACACGAATCACTAGTTGGAAGGGCATTTAACAGCTGAATTTTCTCGTCATCCCTAATGAAACAATCCCTAATAGCTCAACCTAAACTCAATGGCCTCGGATTCATTCATATTGTACGAACCTGAGAAGAACCTACTCCTGTGGCTAAAATCACTCGTCGCCGTGAAATTTTAGGTGATTCTCCGGTTATCGGAGAAAGTGAAATCAAAACCGGCGACCAGATAGAGCAAGATCTCGCCATCTGTCTTCTCCGGTAGATCAGCAGTACCTTCTCGGCGTCGATAACCACTACTCGGTGATCGGAGAAAGTGTTTTCTATTATTTCAGAAATGGGAAAAATGAAATTATAAAATGATAATGTGGTGGGCTAAAAACAATTTGGGCCTCATATTGCACATAAATGGGCTTTGTTGACTTGCAACCTAATTACAGAGATTTGTAGCAAACAGAAGATCACAGATTTTCTCATGAGCATTCACATTTTCCCGGAAACGTGAAGTAGCAACACGACTCTTCTTCTCCTTCTTCAACGACTCTGCTTCTTTCTGGAAACCACTTGTTTTCTCAAGACCAGACAATACAACATTGTATGTTCCCAGCGAAGGCATGATCTTTCGCTCTCTCATCTCTCCTAATATCTTCATTGCCTTCTCTGGACTCCCTGCTGATATATAAACATCCATCAGCGCCGTGTATGCGGCTACGCCCTTTTCATCATCTGGAAGCAAGTCGAAAACTTCTGCGGCTAAGCGGGGTCTTTTGCCAAACCCGAGCTTATGGATCAATGTTGCTCCTTGGTACACACCAAGCGAGTGTTGGGCTTTCACCATCTCCCTGACCACTTCTACCACTTTAGGAAGCTCGTTTATTCTCAGAAAGTTACCAATTAAAGCTAGATACGCTGTCTTCTCGAGATGAATTCCCATTTCCGAGCTGTACTCAAGGGCCAACGAAGCCCCCTCGGTTCTACAACGGTCACAGTTTGTTTTTACGATTGCTGAAACAACAAAAGAATCCAACTTTACGTTTCTATCTTTCATCTGGTGAAGTAGATGATCAACTGCGACCAGATTCTGCTTCATCAGGAGAACGGAGCTGATAATTCTACTATCATCTGAACTTTTCGTGTCATCAACTTTGGCTGTAGGAGTCTCATCAATGTCTTTGCAGCACAAAGATTCAGCAGAAATATGCGGATTCACTTCTCTTAACAGATCATCGCTTTCGCCTGCTGCTTTCAAGGTCTCTGAGGCCTCAAGAAAGACGGGGTAGCGAAGGACGAACCCGTTTTCTTTCATGTATAGAAGAATTCGAACTATGAAAGATGTTTCCCTGAATTTACAGGCTTTACCAATCAGAATATTGCAAGCCGCTTTATCTGGCTGCACCCCAATTTCTTGCATTTTAAAGAAAATGTCTAAGGCTTCCTCGCATTTTCCTGCAAATCAAATGAAGAAACTAAGGCACCATCGTCATAGCTACAAAACATTCAGAAACCAATATCCAGACAACAACAACATTCATACTCTTACAAAAGTTTACTTTCAGCTAGGCATTTTAACAAACACTTTGAGTGCCTACAAGTGAAGCTAACCTGCTCCGACAAGATACTCCATCAATACCGTATAAGTGTGACAATTCGGAGAAATCCGTGACCGCAACATCTCCTTATACACCTCCGTCGCTTCTTCCACCCTCCCATCGTCGAAAAGTATCTTCATGTAAGCCGTATAAGACACGACCGTAGGTTCGCACTCATTATCTCTCATCTCCTCCCATAACCGTATTGCTCCCTCCACGTCGCCGGAACTTGAAACCCAGTGAATCAACGACGTATACGTGACCGTATCGATCACCACACCTTTCTCCTTCATAAGCTGGAAAACAGAGTACATAGATTCGATCCTACCAGCTTCACCGAAGATATCGAGCATGGTGGTGTAAGTGAAGTGGTCGTGTTTGAAGCCCTTGATCTGAGCAGCAGCCCAGTTGAAAAAGAGCCAAGCTTTCTGCATCGGAGGGTGGGCTTTCAAGACACGGTTGATGATGTGAGAATCCCATTTCACGCCGAGATTTGGGAGCTGTTCTCGAGCAGATTCCCAAGTGGAGTACTTGAGGAGGTTATAGATATTGGAGACAATGTCTCTCGTGTAGATCGTTGGATCTGGGGTCTGTGTTTTCACAGGTTTTGGTTTCTGAAAGAATCGCTTGGTGGGGTTTCTGGGTGGTCTTTGTCGGGGAAGAGAGTGAGGTAGCTCCACGGAGCTCCGGCGATATGATAATTGGATTGAGAGTTTGCGGAAAATGGTAGAGAAGCGCATGACTCACGACTCACTCTCATTCCGATCAAGGAAACCGATGGTCTCATTCTTAAACCCTGCTGATTCGGCTCTGTTTCATTGACTGCTAGTGCTAAGGATTGGGCTTGGGCTTGATATGAATTTTATTGGGTCCAGCCCAATAAGAGAACCTCAACAAGTTTTTGGAATCAATATCATGGGAATTTGCAAAACATGCGTTTGAGGCATACATATGCACATACTATGATAGAGTGATGAGAGATGGAGATTGGAAGTGTGAAGATGAGTCTAAATCCTAACAGGAAGAATTGTGTATTGCTCTCATATTGATAAAGATTATGATACATGTGTTTATTATATAGAGAGGAGAATCTTAAACCTAATTAACATAGTTTCCTA